TGAGACTTCTGGGTGAGAAAGTGATCCACGTTAGTTTCGATTTGGATGACTTAGCCTTCGTGCGGATGGCTGCGAGACTTCCGGGTGGAGTTGAGAATTCCGGTTTTGAAAATTCCTAAGTAATCAGACTTCTTTGAGAATTCCTTTCTTGTCTCTGACATTTCCGAGCGAGAGTTCCACTTTCCATATCTTTAATCTTGATAAGTCTTCCAAGATTGAATACTCAAAAACTCAAAATGAAATATCACAAGATTTATTTGAAATCTCAAGAACTTGGTTTTAACAATATTTCTAAAAAGAAAATTACATTGAATAATGGGGGAGACTTAGAGTCCCTATTACAATCTAAATACATCATCATCAAAATCTATAATTTTTCCCAACAATTTCCCCCTTTTTGATGATGACAAACAAGTGTTTAAGAGTTCTGGTCGCTGTACTGAGAACTAATTTTATAACATTCTTTTAGTTTCTCATAATATACAACTTGTTAACAAAAACTCTTAAACAAAATACAATGCAAATTACAACTGTTCCTAAACCAAGTCTTGTGTTGAAATTTTGTGATATTTTTGCCACGTGCTGCTTTTGTATTCAGCTGTTTTTGCTTGAAAACGTTGATGGCATTGAGTTTGATGGATCTCAACATCCACAGAGGACATTAAGATATAAGGATCAACATCTCTCCCGGAAGAGGTGTTTGGAAAGGAAAGAGGAAAGCTGGTGAAAGAAGGGAAACGAAGACTTGAAAAAAATTTAAGAAAAGAGGAGAAGTGGAGACTTGAAAGATGAAGGGAAAAATAAAAAAGTTTTTAATTTTTTTAAAAAAGAGATAAAGAAATGAATGAGGTGGTGAAAGAAGAGAGAATATGAGAAGAGAAGTGGAGACCTGAAAGATGAAGGAAAAAATAAAAACTAAAAGAAAGTTTTGAACAAAGAAAAGAGGAAGGGGAAAAATGAAAGAAAATAGAATTTTTTAAAAAGACCAAGAGAAAAATGAAATGTAAGACATAAATGGAGAGAAGGAGAGGGGAAATGAAAGTATTGAAAGGAGGAGGATTATAGGCGTAGGGAGAGTGTTGATCCAGAGAAGGTGTATGGCGAGATGCAAAAATGAGAGATTATCACCATAGACCTTCTCTACTACCGAGATTTTCACCATAGATCTTGAATTTCTTTTCTTCCCACATGGCCTTCTCCAGTGCCGTCTATGAGAGTGAGGAAGAAGAACTTCTCCATTGAAGAGATTTTTCTAGGTGATTTTCTCAGGTAGTGAGTTTGAAGACTTTTCATATTGGAAAATTTGTTGGGATGGAAATGGATGTGGATTGGCTCGCTTTAAATAGGTGGAGAAGAGAAGAGGAGGTGGTTCCCAGGTTCCATTAACGGGGTGGTTGGAACGGTAAAAAATAAATGGTTTTCAACTTCCAAGAAAAATTGATTTTTGAAACGTTGAAGACTTTTTATCAGTTACCAATTACCAAAACTTTTTCCAAATGAACCAATAACTTGAGTTTTCTAAGGGAGCAACTGTTTTGTATTGGCTAAGCCCATAAGAATGGCCCAAAAAAATCCATGCACTAAAGGGAAATTATTCCTATTGGGTTCTCAAGACCCAAAATAAAATCTATCATTTTTAATTCCCTAAAGTTCTAAGTTCTAATTAGGATGAAGTAGTACCGAAACATAAAATTCATTTTTTTTTAAAAAAAATGGTACTAATTTTCCAAAATCCTGTACAGTTAAAAATCTTAAGGACCAGTTCTTAGAGCAAGAGAAAGGAAATGAACAAGTATTGAAACTCAATTTAAGGAGGCAGATATTGTAGAATACCTGAATCGGACATCTCCAACTCAATAGTACAAAAATGAGATATCCGACTTCCATGCTTAGAGTTCCGTCAGTAGTCCATTACCAAAAACAAAACATTAGCCAAAAACAGTTATATTCATCTTGAATTACATTCCCCCCTGAATGTATGCATGCATAATAAATTCAAAACTCATACTCAAAATCATGTTCAAGCATAATTGTAAGAGATTTAAGCAAAGAATGTGATACAGACGCATTAGTTTCGACGACAAAAGTATCCGTGAAATTCGGGAGCCGCAGAATAGGCGGGGCTGTAATGATGGCTTTGAGACGGTCGAAAGCCGCGGCTGCCCCCGGGGTCTAGTGAAAGGCATTTGTCTTTAGCAACGCGGTGAGCGGGGCAGCTAGTGTGGCGTAGGCACGAATAAAACGGCGATAATAGCCCGTCAACCCCAAAAATCCCCGTAGTTGCCATGGGGTTTTTGGTGTGGGCCAGGCGGTGATTGCCTCCAATTTCCTGGGGTCGGCCCGTAGCTCACCTGCGGACACCAAATGTCCCAAATAATCCACGGTCTGGTAGCAAAAAGAACACTTGGATAGCTTGACGAAAAAGTGGTGTTGTGCTAAAGTACTCAGTGCCGTATCAAGGTGAGTCACATGTGCCTCCAGGGTTGGGCTATAAACCAAAATGTCGTCAAAAAAGACAATCACGAACTTGCGGAGGAAGGAGGCAAAAATATGATTCACGGCGGCTTGAAATGTGGACGGTGCGTTGGTCAAGCCGAACGGCATAACCAAAAACTCAAAGTAACCATCGTGGATGCGAAAAGCCGTCTTAAAGATGTCTGCCATATGCATGTGTATTTGATGATAGCCAGAACGAAGATCAAATTTTGTAAAGAAGCGTGCCTGACCCAATTCTTCAAACAATTCATCGGCCGTGGGAATGAGAAATTTATCTGCAACCGTCGCAGCATTCAAGGCCTGATAATCGATGCAAAATCGGAATGAACCATCCTTCTTTTTTAATAAAAGGACTGGGGAGGAAAATGGGATACGGCTGTGTTGAATGATGCCCTGGCCCAACATTTCTTGCACTTACTTCTCAATTTCGGCTTTCTGGAAATAGGGGTAGCGATATGGCCGTACATTGATGGGCTTTGTCTCGGGAAGTAAGTGTATCCAGTGGTCCCATGGCCACGGTGGGGGACTGCCCACGGGCAAGGAAAACACGGCCTGATGTCGCTCCAATATCGCCTTTATAGCCGGAGGAAGGTTCCCGGGAAGGGCATCGGCAAGGGGTCCCTGTCCGGCGTCCGTGGAGGCCAAAATCTGCAGCGCGTACCCATCTGTCACTACGGCCGAGGTAAATAGGGCCTGTAACCCGTTGTAAGAGACTTATTTGGTGTTGGGAGCATCCCCTTGCAAAACAACTGGTTTGCCTTGAAAGAGAAACTCCATAGTCAATGCCGCATAATCATGGGAAATCTTACCCAAGCTCTGGAGCCATTGGACGCCCAGAACGATGTCCGGTCCGTGAATATCCAACACAAAAAGATCAAGAACAAGAGGAAGACCCTGGATGGTTAAAGGCACTGCCGTGCAGGTGTGGGTGCATGGAAGAGAAGCGCCGTTGCCTACGTACACCCGAAACGGCGTTGTGGGTTGCATGGACAACTGTAACTTTTCAACAATGGCCGGACGAATAAAGTTGTGCGTGCTTCCCCCGTCAATTAAAACCTGCATGTGTTGACCCTGAAGCGTACCCTTGACTTTCAACGCACGCGGACTAGGTGAGCCCGTCAAGCTATTGATGCTAGAAATATCCCCCGAAATCAAAGAGGGTTCGTCCTACGGAATGTCATCTGTGAATGGATCGAGTTCGTGTTCCTCCGCCCCACCGATGAGCGCCATAAAACGGTTCGGGCATTTGTGGCCCGGAACATATTTTTCATCACAAGTCCAGCACAACCCCTTAGCCGTGCGTTCCTCCCGGTCTGCATGGGTGAAGCACCGGATTGGTAGGGTGGTGGACGCCCCAGGTGGACGTGCCCCTGGTCTGGGAGACGTGGACTGCCCAAGATTGCCTTGGGTGCGGAGAGGAGTGGCTGAAGTGGATGAAGCGGTGGGTGTTGGCCATGGCCGATGTCTGGTGATGGCGGTGACAGCATCAGAATGATTGGCTGCCAACTCACGGGCGAGGGCAAAAGCCTGGCCCTAAGTGTAAGGCCGTCGTACAAGAACCTCACGCCGTACTGGAGCTTTCAGTCCGGCGATAAAAACAGAGATCAAGGCAGCCTCGGGAACCCCTGTCACCTTATTCAAAAGTCGTTCAAACTCCGTTTGATAATCCAAAACGGTAGTGCGCTGTTGTAATTTGCAAAGGAGGCCCATATAATCTTCGTAATGCGTCAGATCAAAATGTTGCTTAACGGCGTCGATAAATCCCCGCCAAGATGTGATATGGTGGTTATTGTGTTGATAAAGAAACCAATCGGAAGCGGGACTCTCAAAAAGTAAGCCGACAAGCCATAGACGGAGATCCTCCGGCATGCGGAAGTAATCGAAACGTACCTTCGGCATGCCCGGCTCGTGATAATCCTCATGGCCTGTAAACCCTGGCGGAACCATAGGAGGTCGGCGACCCACCGGTGGTGTGTTCCCCAAAATACCACAGTTGGGAGGTGTGGGAGGTGGCAGGCCGTCAAGCATGGTGGCAAAACCGTGATCCACACGTTGTACTAGGGTGAGATGCTCCTACCGAGTGGCCCGAATTTCTAACGCCAGGTTTTGAATAGCTTGCAACAGGTCATCGGCGGATGGTGAGCCAGTGTGTGTTGTAGACGAAGAGGGAACTTCGTCGGCCATGATGAGTCCAGGGAGATGAAAGCACCAATGATACAGAGAAGGTAGAGGTTGAGGGAGAGAGGGGAATCGGAAAAGAGGGATCAGGGAGAGAAAAGGAGGAGAATTAGGTTTAACTTCTTCTTATTATTATTATGATAGAGCACCTCTCCTTAAATAGAATTCGAGGAGCCCAAAAACCCTAGTATTCTACGTTATCTAACCTAACGGTTCAAGAAAAGCGACGAGGTAAAGAACTGTAAAGAAACCCTCGAAGGAGTTTTATAATTCCACTCACCTAGAAAAATCCTAAAAATACATTAAAAGTATGAGATAAAATAGTAAATTAAATAAAGTCTTTATAACGGGCCGGCGGCTTAACCAGCCGTCCCGACCTTCTCAGATTGTCCACTTGTGCGTCCATGTTGGGTCGGTCTGGCTCAACCTGTGCCACGGATTCTTCTGCACCATGCGTCGTATCAGAATGCTTAAACAAGAAGGTGTTTTCATGAAAACAAAAACAGTTATATCTAACTTCCACCTGTTTAAATGAGAAAAACCTTCAAGTCTTTATGCGTTTGGAGGATTCGGCAACTGCACTCAAACCTTGACTGACGCCACATTCAGCTCTAATGCGCTTCAGATTCTCCATGCGCTCCTTGTGCTATCCTTCTGTTGTGAAGTGTGAGACATCTGTTCCTATGGCTTCCGTTCCATCAAATTGATTGCTGGTTAGGTGTTGCAGTGAGAGCTCCAGATTTCTCTGCTGGGCTTCCAGGAGAAGGTCACCTAGCTGCAGATGGGTTGGAATATAACCTACTTCTCCTTGAGTGACTTAGATTGGTAGCTTGGGATTTTCCAGAAGACTGGTGTATTGGACAGTTACATCCAGTCTATGTCTGGCAGTGAAATTTGCCATACCTTTGAGCAACCAGAAAACTTCCCTCTGATTTTCTGCGAGGACTTTCAGATAATCTTGAGTAACAACCTGGTTTGCTGAAGAGACTGCCAGGGCAGATCTGATTTCCATCTGCAGAAGGCTCATTTGCTTCGGAAGACTCCTTGTAATAACATCAAGGTGTTGTTTGATCTCCACCACCTCTTTGAGTTGGAGGTGGGAGTCTGAGGCATAGGTAATCATCATTGTGCTCAATGAGGAACTCATTTGAGATTTGATCTCAAGAGTTTTGTTAAGAGAATTGCATATCTCTTTAAGGTTGGAGTTGTGCCTTTCTTCAGTTCTTTCCATTATCAAGTTGTGCCTTTCTTTAGTTTTCTCCAACACTTCCTGGAATGAGGCTCTTTGAGACTCCAGGGCAGAGTCAATCAGCCCTTGGACCATTTTCGCCCAGAGCTCAGGCATCTCATCCGGAAGCGTGGGTGTTGGGGTTGAGCTGTGGAAGTTAAAATGAGTTACCTAGTTGGTTTGAGGTAGACTGTGGAAGCATTGCAGAGACTCAGCTTCCTCTTCATTTCCAGCATCCTCTTCACCAATCTTCAGCGTCTTGACAGATTCTTCCTCAGCTTCTTCATCCCTGTAGTTTGAGATATCTTGGGAAAGGGGATCTCTCACAACTTCTTCATTGTGATGCTCAATGATGGTAACTGGAGTTTCAGCAGTAAACTCCATGTTAGCTACCTCAGCATCTTCACTTGTTTCTGCTGGACTTCTCTGAACTTCCATTTCAGGAAATTTCTCAACTTCTGCTGGAGGAGTGGACTTTGAAGTTTCTTCCACATGTTTTTGAAATTCATCCTCCTGATGTTCATCAGCATTTCCTTGAGTTTCAAGTTCAGGTGCCTGAACTTTGGTATGTAGAGAATCGATGCTTGCTATTTGGCCATCGGTTTTAACCATTTTTTTGTATCCGTCTCAGCTGTCCTCTGTCCTCGTCATGGTCGTCTTCCCCTATCGCCAAATCTAGAGTTTTAAATTTTGGAAACTTCAAGTACCAAAAATCTTATTATCATACACTAAATATAGATAATTTGAAAAAGAAAGAAGGAAAAGGTGTTATCTCGTTGTCGGTAGTTGTTGCTGGAATTAAATCATCGTCCATGGATGGAGTTATGCTTTCATCATCCCTCACTTTCTTGGGCCACACCTACAGAGAATGTAGGAAAAGATTTTTAGAAAAATGAGGGTGTGATATCCTAATGAAATACTAAAATATTTTAATCTTTCCCTCTAAATATCTAGGAGGATGAGAAGTAATAATGAGAAAAGCTACTCACTTGATTGAAATTGAAAACAAAAGAAATGTTTTGAAAGGGTGATTGATATTCATACTAAAGTTTGAAGAATAAAAACTTTAAAAACTATAAAAAAACCTTATGCCTTACAGTTGAATCTGTGTTGTGCATGGTCACAACTTTATTTCTATTTAGAAAGTATTCGCCTTTTACATGGTTTGCTTCATAGTCACTCTACTCTTGAGCTTTCTTCTGAGAGGTTTGTCCTTGTACATTCATTTAAATTTATATAGTCTAACCTGACAAACTTTGTTAAAGATAAGTCAACAATGACTCCATGCTCAGTGCAAAGAAATGCTCAAATATAATTAAACATTAGTGTAAAAACTAACATACTTATTTTAGAATAAACTTTAGTTGTAGTAGTGACATAATTATCCAATTTCAAGAAAAGGAAAAAATATAAAGAGAGGTAAAATGGCTTGAACATCCTTCATTCCTTGATATCAGCAAGAATAAAGAAAAAAGTAAACTTAGTTTCATGTGCCATATTATCTAGTTATTACAAATTTCAGTGTAAATCTTACCCACATATACATACAAAATCAAAGAACCTCACTCCCACCCCTCCTCTAACAACATGCGTTCCTAAGATCTATTTAATCCTTCAAATCCTGATACAAAATTTAATTGAAACTTCAAGAAAAATATAAAAAAAAAGAATTTGATTTTCTAATCATAATGAGTGAAGTGCAAGGTAGTTCCAATTAATTTGGTTAGCTCAAATATGGTTGCTATGCTCCAAGTATCGTTGTCCACTGTCGTGACGTGCCAGTTCCAGGTCTCTGTTGTGTCTCCAATCTTGTTCCAATTTGGGACCCAAAAATCTGGAAAGTCTAAAAAATTATACCTAAAATATGAAAATCTTAATCTATCTACAAAATAAATTGAAAGAAGAAGAAAAGGTTAAGATGAACTTCTAGAAATAACTTACTTCTTAACTATGTGAGAAGCCCACATTTTGAAAAAAAAGAATTCAAGAAAAAAAATCTCTTTTGTCATGGATTTTAACCTTTTTAAGACAATCAATCTTAGTTGTGCGATCGTGTGAAGATAATCAATGCTTAATGTTTGGCCATCAGTTTTAACCTTCTCTTCGTATCTGCCTCAGCTGTCCCTGTCCTCGTCATGGTCGTCATGGGTTCTATGTTAGTGTCCAGACATGTAGATAAAGTCCAACTAAAATACACATTACATAATATTTGAATAACTAACCTTGGCCATCGAGTCACGTAGAACCTTCATAGAACCTGGACCCGAGTAACTGAACACATTCTTAGTTGTAGTCGAAGGCATTGGTGGTCCCAAAGTGGTGAAATACAAAGTCTAGAGGGGGGGGTGAATAGACTTTGTTACAGATTTACAATCTTTTTCGTTTCTTTTGAGAACGTGAAAATGAGTGTTAATCTAGAGTCCTTGTGAACTTTAGATTGTGTGCGGAATTTGGTGGGTGGAGTGAGCAGTAATCAATATGGATAGGTCAGTTTTCACAGTTAATATAATTGCAAGAATAAAGATAAGAGAGAGAGACACGCAAACTTTAACGAGGTTCGAAGGTGGGGTAATCCTTCTACGTCCTCAAAATCCACTATGTAGTTGGTTGTTGAATAATGAACCAAAAATTACACTTGTGTGAATTTCTGCACGATATATCTTCACAAGACCAATGTTGCTACTGCACTCGTGCTGGCTTTGTTGTTCCTTCGAAGGTCAAGCTTCTTCAACAACTGCAAGATCCGAACAATAGGACTTGCAAGATCAACTTGTAAGAGAGTTGACCTACCCCCTTTTAATCAATAAGTTTGATCAAAAGTAATATCCTTCAACGTGGTGTGGTGCTTGAGGCAAGGAAACCTTCAAGTGTTTACACTATAGCTTTTTGGAAGGAGGAGAAGTTTGCTTCTGGATAAGGAGTTTAGAAATCTCTCTTTATCAAGCTTTTTGGGCTAACTGTGAATGAGATAGCTTTAGTGATTGCTTCGTTGTGTTGTTGTATCAACGTATCTCATCGT